TGTGCAAAGATAAATCAGTCAATGCACTCATTTTTTGTGGACCTTCCTATATTATACTGTAGCTGAACAATTTTAACCAGGTGGTGCATAATGCATAATACACTGTGTACCCAGACTGTTCATGCTTTGGCTTTGGCTTTTGTGGAAGATCAATCTCTATTAGGAAATCTATTATCATCACTTATGTTTTACTACAATGAAATAAATAGGCAGCTGCAGTTGTTTGGCCTAATAGCTCTTAGTTTGATTGCTAGAAGTAGGAAATCAATGCAGGGTGAAAGGAAGAAACATTTTTAATAACTTACACTCCAGATATGAGATCCCCAAGTTATTACAAATTATAAGGTTAAGACCTCCTGAAAGAATCCTAGCTAGTTAAATATTTAAAACTCCTGGGTGAGAACACATGCACTAATGAGCTTCAGGCTACTAAATACCAGAATCTAGGGGGAGACATCTTGTTTTATATTAGAAAGTATTAGTGAGTATAAACTGGCCATAAGAAGTATTTAATTAGGAATTATATCGATATGGGGAAAGCAGAGAGAGAAACAGTTTACCAAATCTACTGTTTGTCACTGTTAAAAGCTGGATTTGTCTGTGGAGGAAAAGAAACAAATGAAATCAGCCCTGTATCAAACCAAGGGAGATATAGCATGGTACCCTGACCCTCCCAGCAGCCCTATCCATAGCCTTAAGGGAGTTGCTGGATACCTCAGACTGAATGTGGATGGAGCTTCCAACTGAGATTTCCTTTTAATATCCAGCTGGTAGCAAGTTGCCTTAGATTTTCATTCAATTCTGGTAATTTAGTAATAGTTGTTGGATGAAAACTATGATGCAAATGCCAGGCTGATACACGTTTTAAAATTCTCCCACCCCAAACAAGAAGAGTTAAAACTCCATAATCTTTGAATCTCTTCCTTAGTGATCTTTTCATTCGTAATTTTAAGAGCATAAGAAACTGTTAATTGTACCTGGCCGTGTTAAGTTTGCTATCTTAAGATGAATTGAAATGTTGCAATTCAAATGGTAAGAAGTGAAGAAGGGAGTCAAGACTGACAGTAGAAACTGGCTTGACATGATTAAGCACCAAATAATGTTAAGTCTTGTCGCACAAATATTGTGGGTGAAGGCTTGCTGCATTGTGTGCACACACATGTATTTTATGTAAAATAGCCTCCGTCTGTCTCCTCTCTGAAACAGGGATTGTGAGTGGGTAAACAGCTCATAGCAACAGATGAAAGGCTGACAAAGTTCAGACTCCCAGTTCAAAGGTTTCAACAGCATGTGAAATGACAATCTCAGGTTATTTGTGTTTCCGAGCTCCTGTGTATTTGAATTGTTTGCTCACCTATGGAAGCTCTCCATTATCCTATTCCTGGTTGTGTTCATCAGCTGAGCGAGCTGCCTGGCTGCAGACATATTTCACGTGAAAACTTAGTAAATTTTATTTCACCTGCCTCACGACACCTTGCCTCTGCCCCCTAGAAGATCAGAAATATTTTGTTTTAATTGAGGAGGGTAAATTACAGCAGTACAAAGCTGGCTTCCTGCTCGCTCCATGCACATCTCTGGCTGCTTGGTCAGCGCAGGTCCACCGTTCCATTTTTAAATCAAATTATGCTTGTGATAATATTGTCTTGAGCTTACAGTTGCTGACATGGATATTGACAAAGGCTTAGCCAGTATTTTAATAAGAAAACAAAATACAGGAAATACTCTAGAGTTTCCAGGTGGATCATTAGCAAGACGCCTTGGAGGGCTGAGACTGCCAGCCAGCACAGGGAATGCATCACAGTTCGTCATACAACTTAAACTTCTTTTGACATCTAGTTATGTCGAAATGTGACTGATCACCTAGGGGTCCAGGCTCCTGTGAGGGAAAAGTTCACTGACAGACAGCGAACGAAGCTGATCTTAAATGAGAATCAAGAGAAAGCAGCATTCCAGCGTCTGACAGTCTGCAGCTGCTACCTGGGTCTGCCTAACGAAGACGAGCCTGCTCTGCTGAACAGTTATATTAGCATCTGTATGCTTCTGTCTCATTATCACACATCTGCCCACCTTTATTCGAATGAAGCTTCTTCTGATCTGACAGCTCAGGCATTGTCAGTGAATAGATATTATGGGAGCCGGGTACAGCAGCTTAGGGTGTTAGCTTTTATTTTCTAAAGACTGTTGTACAGTTTGACAGTATAATGCCACAGAGGTAAAGAAGATAATTAACATATTGGGCAGTTTCTAAACAAAGCTGAGACAGTTATACTGGCAAAAGTGCTGCTGCTGGAGCAGTATTGTTTGCACTCTAGAAACATCAAAGGCTTGCAAGATCTGCCTTTATAAAAAGAAAACAGGTACAGCTTGGTCCCCACACCACAAACAGGAAGTTTTGGGGGGTTCAGCCCACACCTACTAACTGCAAAACCTTTGGTGTGCTTGAAGAGCCTGTCGTGTGCATTCAAATCTCCGCTTGCTCAGGCAAAATATCTCCCAGAATTTGAGAAGACATGAAAAAGTCTGTGTGGAGAGGAGGTTTGTGGGTCTTTTCACTTTCTTTAATTTATTTTTACCCCACAGCACAAAGCTAAGTGCTCATGTGAGCTTCACAGAGCTCATATTTGGATGGAGATTTAAGCCTTCTAAGTTAGAGATCACATGTGGGATTTTCTGGAAATGCCAAAAAAACATATGACAGAGGTTTCATCATTTGCTCTGTAATAAACTAGAAAGGTTTGCTTAAAAATAAAACCAAACAAAGAGAGGGGAAAATAGTATTTTGAGCCCGCAGTGTAGATGGACTGAGCTTTGACTGAGGAAGGGGATGTTCATATTCTCTTCTTCAGATCTGAGAAAAGAAATGTAGTACTGCAGTGGATTACTACACAGCTTGTCTTCAGTTTTCACCAGGTCCTACAGTCTGTACAAAATATTGGACATTGTTGGAATCAAATGGCAACTTCATAAATATTTTGGACATGAAGTGCTTAAGAAAAATATAGCCTTTTCATTCTTTATATTTTTGAGGAAAACAGTGAATAGGATGCACTGCAGCAAGAACATTCCTGAAATCATTACCTCTTTGACCCTTGGTTTATGTTTTAAATGGCATAAATAGTAACCTAGAGCCCCTACGCACACAAGCAATGTTGTGACCAAAGACCAGATCGGCAGCTGGTTTGGATGAGTTGCTCATTTACAGCCAAAATAATCTTCCCTGTTCCTGTGGCAATATGCAGATTTGCCCTGCTCAGAATTTAGCCCTAAATTTCTAAGAAGTTATGGACTTTCCTCATTTCATTCATGGCTTTCAGTTGACTGCTTTTTCTTTGTTCTTGAGAGCACAGGGTTACACAAGTTAATGTTGAAATTACTGCTATTTTGCAACAACGTAATCAAAGTCATTTGAGCATCTGTGCTGATAAAGTAAGAACAGCTCATCCAGATTGGCCTCCAGGACCCGCACTCACCATTGCAAAGTTGGAATATGGAATTAGATTCATTTTAAAAAGAAAAAAAAAAATGAAGGAAGAAAAAGATAGAATCCGTTGTCATTCATTCTGAAAAGGCATTACAGACTGCCGACACTGTACAGAAAAATAGGAGATGTTGACCTTTTTATTATAGACTTTTCTGTGCTGTTGCCCTCCTCTCGAGGTGCCCCCCCTGCCGCCGCGCGCACCCGCACACACACGCGCCCGCTCTTCAGCTCTGTGTTATCTCAAATAATTACCCTGCGCTTCTGGCTGTCCCCAGTGACTTCTGCTGCTAAAAAAGCTACTCATTGTCGGTGAGTGAAGAGGGATTTCAAACCTGCTTCTTGTGGCCCAGCAACAGCTCTTAATTAACCACTCAGGTATTGAGCCGCCTCCTCGCCCGGCTCCCATCCATATGGCAGGAACATGTCCACAGCGATAATCACTGAAGGAAATATTGTATCAAAAAAAGGCCTCGCAGAACAGAAAGCTCCTGCAAATTATTTTTAATGATTCTCCTCTTGTGAGACGGATTATTTGTTATTTCAAGCAGGGCCAGGAAAGGGGGCTTTAGGGGGACATGCCTGTCCTCCACTCGTTCCACTCTGCACCCAGGCAGAGCCCCAGCCCTGCCACTGAGTGGGCACCCAGGCTACCAGAGGAGGCCCTTCAGGCAGCCTAAAGAGCTTTAGCTCCCTATGATTTTGATAATCCTTTGTTTCTAGTGTGACTTGCTTTTCTACACGCTGGATGTGCATGTTTCCTGTGAGCAAGGGACTTGAAAAAACTTGCAGCCTTGACACAGACCCACACTTTTTCCTTCCCCCTTGGTTTATAGTAAAGAAAACAGTGATTTGAGTTTATAAATCTAATTAAAAATGAAGTTGCATTTACATTTTAAAACCTTGCGTATACCAGCATACTGTGTCAAAAGATATTATGTATGATTTTACTTTGTGACAGAAACCATTACATTTAAAAATTCATTACAGCAAGGTTAGTTAGACACATGATGGATGCAGCTTTAATCCTGCCATATATTATTACAGTTAAAATGTAAATGATGAAAAATATTTTGTGCTTATCAGCATTTATGTGGAAATGTGTTTTACAGTGATATATGGTGTTATATTTCTATTATTATGATGAGAAAGAATGAAATACAAAAAGACTAAGTGTTTATTAAAACATGGTTACTTGTGATAAAATATTCTTGTTGTACATGACTTTAAACATATTTACTAAGGGCATTTGTCCAAAACAACTGTGAAATGTGTTTGCTATGCAAATCATTCTTTGTAATTTTTTCCCCTCTGTTATACCAACTATAGCTTTTTAATAGCCTAATGTTGAAGCTATGTAAATATATTTTTGTTATTTCTCACTTCAGACACAGCGGGGACGGGGACTGGCTCTGTTTGCACACATGCGTGTATTCAAATAGATGGAAACATACATAAAAAGATGGGCAGAAAATTGATCCTAGCAAAAATCCTTTTCACTGTCTATCTCCTCTTGTTTCAGCCTCTCAAAGCCAACCTTGATCACAGGGATCTGAGCTCTTCACCAGCACAGCCTTTGGCACATGCTGATCTGTGAGCATACAGGTGGTCCTTTGACAGAGTGATTTAACACCTCGCACAACAGAACCTTTAACTCAGGTTTGTTTTACACCCTCCTCCCTCACACGTGGGCAGTGTAACATTGCATGGGAGATTCATCCTCTGGCCAGAGAACTGAATTTTTCTTTTTTCCCCAAGGAAGGTAAGTTCCCAATTGAGCTTGTGCTTTAGTAGAGCCCTGCCAAGTAAATCTGTGTGGTGTTGTCCTGATTTGAAGGGTAATGAGTTTTGAGGTCAGAATTGCATGTTGCAAATTCCTAGGTTAAGTAAGTTTTTAAAGAAATTTTAGTCTAGCAGTGACCCTTCTAGAAAGGTTTCTGGCAATAAGGGCCTGGTCTCCACAGGCAAAATCCAGTATAATCTTGAGCAGAACAATACAAAGGCGTAAAAGCCATTAAGTGACTTGCCCAGCATCCCACAGGAAGTCTGTGACAGAAAAGAAAATAAAAACATGAAGGTCCCGAAACTTAGGAATTTAACCATTCTATCTGTGCATTTTGGGTGCAGAATGTGTGCTCTGTCCACTGGGTTTTCACTGTGTTTTGGGTTTGTGCTCTTGGTCCTTCCACTGACCCTGGCTGACTGCTGGGTTATTCCAGCATTAAGTAACCTGTTGACCCAGAAGCTATTGCCTTACAGCCCACATTCCCCCAGCCTGGTGTTGCTTCCTTCATGTTCCCACTACTTATTTTCTGAATGTATCTACTGCAAGTTCATGCTGCTTGTTTTGTTAATTTCTATGCAGCTTATAATTAAAAAATTAGTAGAGTCATTAAACTGTATGATTTCCATATTATTCCTGTAATTCCTTCAGTTCATATTGCTATCTCTTTAAAAAAAAATTGATTTGAGTTTGGCATGATGCAGTAATCAGACTGAGATTGCTTCTAGTTATGTGAAGCTGAGCCCATCTTTAGCAAGTCAAATGCGCTTCTGAAAAAAGAGAAAAAATGAAATCAAAATATTTGTGATCAAGAGCATATATGCCCTTCAGTCCTTAATGCCTTTCTTTTGATATGAACAGAAGCAGGAGACCTGGTGCTTGTAGTTCACTAAAGTGGCTATTTCCTTATAACCTTCCTCTTGTAACAATGTTTATTCAGTTATCAGGGAAGAAATATCATTTGTCCGTGCAGCTACAATTACCCAATTTGTTGTATAAATTATTACATTTTTTTTCTCATCTCGTGTTGATGACAGAATCATTTAATAGACTTTCAGTTGCTCAAGCTTGAAAATTGGTTCCACATTCTCCCTTTTTTTAGTTTTCCTCCCTAGGGCAAGTGCAACGCGGTCTAAATACAATTTCCATCCTCTCCCCCTCCCTTTTTTTTAAACATCTGCTTGTATGAGGATGTTGTTGTGTACATTAGCGCTGTACAGTTTAGCACCCTTTAGGACTACCTTCAGCTCTCAGCTTCCTCATTCCCGGGGCCAATCATAATATATCAGGAACTGTAGATATTTCCTATCTCAGCACTCTCCATAACTCTTCTGCTCAGCTGTCTGAAGCTGTTTTCTTTAGGAAGTCCAAAGCAAGGGGGGCTGGTTGACCTGGCATCAGTCCTATTTATAAGAATAAAACCTCTTCCCTGTACACCTTTGGAGCTTTGTCATGTAGGGGTCACATCCGTTTAAATTAATGGCCATCGCGCCCGTGGCGGAACACGGCCACCTAACCTTTGCTGTCCCCTCTACCCTTTTGTTTGAAGTTATCTAACCTACTCAGATGATTTCTTCAAAGCTAAGGTTACAGGATTTGCAACTGTGTCTTTGCCACATAATTCATTAGGAAGGGAAAAACAAGCTATTGCCTGTCACATGTGCTGGACTTTTTTTTTTTTTTTTTGGGGGGGGGGTGATATGTTTATTTGTTTATTTAAAATAAGCATTTGCTTTTAAATTTTTCCTCCCCTGCTGTTGCTGCTGAAATAAATGCCAGTCAGGCTTGTTTGCTTAGTATAGGAGTTACTGTGTGGTTAGAGGCAGAAATGATGTATGGAGCAGCCATCTCATTCCCAGCCTGCTATCTAAGGGCTTTTCTTAGAAGTAATGCTTCTGTGGCACTGGAGATGTCACAGAGTTACCATCTGCCCACTCATAAGTCAACTGATTGCCTATGAAATCTATTTGTTTTAGTTTTAAGCCTAAGAATATTTGCTGAAAGCAGGATTATCACTTTGTAGACCACCAACAGCTGTTGAAAAGCAGGGCATAAAACTTTGTTTATGTCTTTAATAACCCACTTAATGACGGAGCAAACACATTATTCATAATAAAATAGGCTGGCATGATCTTACTGCAGTGCATGGTGTCAGGGAATTAAGAAACATCTGCTATGCCATAAAATAACATTGTATATACTATGTACATTAAAAACACGTGTATACACATATGTATATTATATACATTATTTAAAATGTCTCAGTGGAATTCTCTTTTTAATTACAGTTAACAAACACTGAAATGGTTAAATGAGGGTATTTTTGCTTCTGAATTTGAGTTTTATATAATGATTGAGCCTATGGCTAGCTATAATGACAAGGGATAGGATACATTATCAGAGTACATTTAAGACATAAAGGCAAAGTTTCAAGTCTTGAAACTGGGGTTCAAAGTCTATTTTTAGCCTCCAAATAAGTGACCTAATTTTCTGAACCACAAAGCATTTGTGGGTTCTTAACTTGATGAGAGTGTTGGTTGCTCAGCAACTCTGAAAAACCAGGCCAGTATTTCAGTGCCTAAATGCAGATTTCTATTTACAATGAAGGCATCTGAATTTGCAGCTTTTATCCATACTAGTTATAGGCATTACTCCTGCACTCAGAATGGAAACCCCACTGTGCTGCTCCTGCCCATGCGAGGGGAGCCACTGCCTTTGCTTCGGAGAACTTGGTGTCAAAGAGACCAACTATTCCTTACCCTCGCTCTGCAGCTGGAATGCTGGAGGCAGAGGGGGAATGCTTCTCCCTGGAAGTGTCTGAGCGTGGTGGCTCCCAACCAGCAAAGCATGTAAACATGTCTTTAAATTTAAGCGTGTGAGATGTAAGTGGAACTACTTGCATCTTAAAATTAAATACATGTTTCACTAGATCAGGCCAGATGGTTTTACATGCTCAAAAGTGACATTTACAAGGTCACATAGGAAATGTTTGACAGAGCCAGGAACCAAAACCAGATCTCCCGAGTGCCAACCTTATGCCTTAGTTTTGCACCCATCTTTTTTATGTTGTTGTTTTGGTGGAATTTCTCTCTCAGTGCAAGCAAAAATGGAAAAAAATGATCCAGTAAGGAGACAAGGAAGTTGTAGGGGGTTGTATGTCTGTCTGTTTTGGGTTTTGTTTGTTGTTTGGCATGTTTTGGGGTTTTTTGGGTTTGTTTTGTGTTTTTTGTTTTTTTTTTTTTTGGTTGGTTGGTTTTTTCAAAAAAAAGGCTGGAAACCCCAGTGCTACTGTTTCAGAGATTAGCACTTTCAGCTGTTCAGAAAAGCGTGTATTTTTGTCGGCTTTACAAAAATTTTTCTTCTATCTTTCAAATATGTAAGCAATCTGTTTTCACTTTGTAGGTGGCCCACCAAATAAAAGAAGTTATAAGTTAATAAAATTTCTATGCAGATTTATATGAACTGAATGAACTCCCCCAGTATCTGAACGTTAATCTGTTGGAAAATAGCTGCCACAGTACTGGAATAACTCAACGTCACACAGCAGGGCACACTAACAGTAGTTCTCTCACTGACATTTTCCCCACAAGTGCCAAAATAAACATGGGAAACTACTATGGGGGAAAAGCCCAGTGAACTACTGGAACAGCAACTGTGATATATTGAAAGCGGTTTCCTCAGATTCACCTAAATCTCAGCTTTCACTAATGTGTATATTTTTCTTGGTAGCCCTATCCCTGTGAATTATCTCAAATGCATTTGCTTTAGTCTGTCTTTGCAAGCTCTGCTCTTGGTGAACACCTACACTCTTTGCAATCTCCCATTCTGCCTCAGGTTTGATGTCTTTAGCCTTTCTGTCCTTCTCTAACTCAAATCCAGACCTTGGCACCATGAGAAAGTACTCTAGGTGAAATACTTTTCTTCTTAATAACATTTGTTGACCACGATCTTACCCTGTGTATGAAAAGGAAGGAGGCAACCTTCTTACTTTCTCATAGGACCCTCCTATTACACTTTCAAACTGCAAAAAGATAAAATATGAGCATGGGGGTGTAGGTTTTATGTAGTGACCTCTAGTTTTGGCTGGCTGGGCTCTGTATTTTGCTATTGGGTTTAATGGTTTTCTAGTCATAAAATTTGCATGTCTGTGACCAGTTTGCAAAAACTCTTAAAAATTAGTATAACTTAAGTCAGATTCATTTAAATGAACTCACCCAGTCACCTGTGGGGTCTGAGAATCAGGGTCCATTTATTCTTCTTGAGAGTATTTAGAACAGCGTCGTTTCAAGCTGAGCAGCTCCACCAGACCTGCACAGGGGCCTGTGGCCAAGGAAGGCTCTGCAGCCTCTGAGCTGGAACGGGAGGACAGAACTGCAAGGGCTAGACATTTAGTCTTGATGTAGAACTATTTCTTTTCTATTTTGTATCAAACTGAAAGAAATTAAAACTTAGAGTCTTCCAAAGAAAATGTCCTCTAACTTGTTGGCCTGTTTTCTCCTTCAGCAAAGACCAGCTTGTCTCGTTTTGAGCATTAAGGGTCCCTGTGGAAGGATCTCATGCTAAACAACATAATGCAGCTCCCTTTCAAGCTTAACATCAGCTTCTCACTCAGGACAGGCATATGCCTCTACTTGTCAGAAGACCCAGCACAGAAGCTTTTAATAAGGTATGTACATGTATTTTTCTGATTTATTTCTTTTTTTTTTTTTAACTGAACCTGAGCTACACTGTACATGGGAACAGCTGTACAATGACCAGAGCAAATGGTCTGTCTAAGGAAGGTATTACTCCTTCTCCACCAGCAGCAGACACTTAAGAAAGACAACAGAAAAGGGTGTCTAGATACTCCTGCTTC